CAAAAGAAAAGAAAAGAAAGTGCTCTAAAGGTTATAACTGCATATATGTTTAAGTGTATAAGATAGATAACCATATTGAGTGTTTTTTGGATCATTGAACTATTTGCACAATCATTGTTTGAAAGTACACTTTATATGCTTTAATTTTGTAACTTGAACAATTATTTCTAAGGTGAGAATATGTAATCTATTAACTAGTGATTTCTTACTGTTTATTTTTTAAATTTTGTATTACTTGTACCCTTTTTCTGTTTTTTTTTTCTTTTTCTCCTTAAATAAAAAAAAAGAAAGAAACTAAGGATAGACTATCAAAACTTGCAGACAGGTTTACAATGGGTGATCAAGAAAGGAAAAATTTCTTAAAAATAAGAAGGAAACAGGCAGTAACAACACAGAAGCTAGAAGACTACAAGAGGATTCTATAACTCAAGAATAAAGAATGTGAATGAAGAAGCAGGCATAAAAACAGGAAATACAAAGGCTAGTCACAGAAATAATTAAGAAAAACTTCCCAAGCATAGGAAAAGGAAATAATATTCAGATGTATGAGGCATACAGAACTCCAGCCACCTACAACCAAAACAGAGCTACACCCAGACATATAATAATCAAGATCCCAGAAATTCAATATAAGAACAGAATATTAAAAGCTGTAAAAGAAAAGAAACAGATCACCTATAAAAGAAAACCCATCAAAATCATGGCAGATTTCTTGACACAGACCATCAAATCAAGAAAAGCTTGGAGTGAAGTATTCCAAGCCCTGAAAGAAAATAACCTCTAACTCAGATTGATATACCCTGAAAAACTGTCTCTAGAAATTAATGGAGAAACAAGATGCTTCCAAAACAAAAAGGAACTGGGGGAATTGTGCTCACCAATCCAAACCTACAGAGAATACCAAAGGACATTCTAGAGAGAGATCCCATAATGCTTTTGCAACTGATCTGAAACTGAAATATAGACCTCTCCCCTCCACATCCAGTGTTGGGGGATAAAACGCTAAAACAGAAGTAGGGTCAGCCACTAGGTATCAGCCAGCCCTGGAGCTTCTAAGAGCTTTCCTTGTGCTAGTTTATTTAAGCCTCACACATGCCTGGAAAGATGGGGTTAGATAAGAAAGTAGAAGTCTTGGTATTGTACAATCCTTCCTGTGTTCCACATTTGGTACATAACATTGTAGTCATTCTATAGCTTTTTGTCTGTAATTTATATCTTTTTGCTTTAAAATTGTGCATGTACCAGTGCTTTAGTGCTTCCTCTAGCAGCTCAGGATCCCCTGGGACTTTCCCTGCCTATACTAGTTCACCAACCCATACTATCTGTCTTACTTGTCAAAATGTATCATGTACTCTATGATGCCATTTAAAAGTGAATGTGTGCTCATGTTAACAATTCCTATGAAAGGTACATGGCATTTGCACTTAGCAGAGGATATACAAGGATCCTGCTGCCCACCTCACTGCCAGCTCATAGGAGTGACTGTAAGGTGGAAATGTAGCATTGTGGTAAACCAGTGGAGGTGACCTTTTAAAACAGAGGCCATTTGGTCCCATCTCATAACAAATACTTGTTCTACAAATACAGCTAGTCAGCTTGTTTCCTGGGACACAGAACAGAGCCCATAAGGGAAATCAATAAATGAATGGATTAGATATAGAAACAAAGCATTAAACATAGGGTCACAACCCCACTCCACCCTTTGCTATCTTTGTGCTTTGGACGGGTACTATGCTTCTGTAAATGCTATTAAGTTTTTAAAAATGAAGACAATAATACTATCTTATTAAAATGTCATCTAGCAAAATTCTTGTAATAAAAATAAGCAGGAAATAACCACAGTAGATTTTGGACTATGTACAAGTATTTGTTTTCAACTCTTAACTATAGCCAGACCTGTGCTAAGTGTAGAAACCAGGCATGGCTGCTGTCCTTTCTGACTTTGAGTTTGAAAAGGCAGAGACCGCAGCATCCCCTATAAATGCTGCTGGACTCTAAGAATGAAAGACATTTCAGCAAAGGTTAATTGGTTAAATTTATTAACCACTAGAAGAGGAATTTCCACTTGGCAATTAAGTTTGCAAATATTGTACAACCTTATAGAGTGTATTTCTCCAAATTAATGTGTTCTTTTTCATGTAATAATCAATTAGTGGGTGTTTCAGTTGCCTAATTAGCTTTGCATGTAAATTAATCTCTGCATATTGAAATAGTAAACCCAGCCTTGTAATGTCGGCTTGTTTATGAGATAAATCAAATTACTATAGCCCCAGAAAAGGTTCTTGGTTTTGAGAGTTACCAAAAGTAAAGTTCTCTTAGCTGTCTGAGCATGGGGGCTTAGGGAGGATTTGGCACATAATAACCAGGCTGATTATATTTACCCATAGAGAGGACTAAGTGTCAGTTTTTATTTCTGCTCTTAGGCAAAGCTGCTTGTCGAGTGATTAAATTCTCTAAGCTATTTAGATCTCGTGTTCAGATCTCATAGTACTGAGGAACAAAAGACATGTTTCCTATTCCCTAAGCAGAAGTGGGACTTGGGAGGTGGAACCCATTCCCTGCTTCATTAAAGATACTGGGAAGTGAAAGGAGGTGAATTCATAACCAGTTCTGACCCTGCAATCCAAAGGAAGTCCCAGCTCCTCTAAGCCTGGGCTAGTGACAGTGACCTGTTATCTCGAGAGACCCTGAAACACAATCCTGAACACAGAGGAAGGGGAGATACAATCAGAAGTAAAGGCATAAGTGAATGTAAAACACAAATAAATACCCAAAGCAAAGGACAAATACTATATACATTTAGTTATATGCAGAATCCACAAAATTGAACTCATTGAGGCAGAGAGTAAAAAGGTTGGTCCTAGAGGCTGGGGAAGAGAAAGGGAATGAAGTAATAGTAGTGAAAAATTATAAAATCTTAACTAGGGGGAAGTAAGTTAGAGGTTTATTTTGTTTTCTATTCCCTTTTTTTTTTCTTTTTTCAGCTCAATTGCACAGCATACTGAATATAGCAATAATTAACTACTGTGCATTTAAATTTTACTGTGAGTAAATTTCAAATGTTTGATCACAAAAAATGTTAAAAATTTGAGAAGATGAATATGTTAATTAGCTAGATTTAATCATCTCCATGTAATAAAAAAAAATCATAGCATCACTTTGTACTCCATGATTATATACAACTATAATTTGCCAATTAAAATGAAAGGACAAAAAGAAAGGGATGGATTTGAGTGATCCAAGCCAAGAATTGATGAGTCCAGGTTTCTAGTTCCCACCTCCCTCTCTATACAAAACACTCTTCTGAAAATTCAGACCTCTGGGAACTACAGGAGAATGAGCCCATATTTTGTTATATTTAGGAATCACGCCCCCCTCCATCCTTAAGGTCCTAACAGTATTCTCAAGTCATTGAGAAATTAGTTTTCACACTTCTTTATTCACAGGGCTGCCTGGGAATGCAAAGTGACATTGTAGCCAAGAGTTCTCTGTCTAGACTCTTCACTCAGAACCCCATGACCTTCACAGGAGCAGGGGAAACTTCTTTAAGGAACCACAAGTTCTAGAAACAAGCACCAGAGCCTCGTGAATGACCCAATGACATTTACAAGGGGTTATCAAAATAGACAATGAAAATGTTTAAATAACCACATTTTTTACAGTAAAAGACACTTTGCCATTAATCCCCCTTCAAAATATGCCCCCCTTGGGCTGGGGATTTAGCTCAGCAGCGTAAGCACCTGCCTTGCAAGTACATGGTCCTGAGTTCAACCCCCAGTACCAAAAAAAAAAAAATGCCCCCTCACCTTGAACACATTCATCCCAGTGTTCTCTGCCACTTTCCCAAGAAGTTCTGGAAGTCTTCTTTCGTGTCTTTATGAGGTGTGATCAAACACAGAGAGAATGCCACTGCTGAATGCCATCCAACAGAAAGGCTGACTCGTAAAAACGTTACCCTATGCCCTCATGCTCCTTATTTGCCAGATCTGGCACCATGTGACTTGTGGCTGTTCCCCCAAAGTCAAAATAACCATGAAATGTAACTGTTTCAGATCAGTTCAGGACATTGAAGCCACTACAACAGTGCAATTTGGCGCAGGTACCTGAGGGCTAGAATGCTCTGCTTGAGATCTAGGGAAAATAAGCCCTCTCTTTCCACCTGCTTTGGAATTTGGTTTCCTGGCTCTGAGCTTCCAAAGCTGGTGTTTGCGCTGTGCTGTGGAACTCAGCACAGTCTGCTGTGCAGTTCTGATATGGGAAACGGGAAGGCATGCCCAGCTCAGGTGGAGGTGCCGATGGCAGGATCCAGCCGCACAACACACAGCGGCTGTCACATGGACCGTGCAGCCAGACCCAAGGTTTTCTGCAGGAACCACAGACAGTGAAAACTGTTTCTGTAACGCAGCTCTCTGCTCTACTCAAGGACAGGATGCACAGCCTGGCCTCTTTTCAAGTTGCTAACTAACCAGTTTACCACCTTCTTCCTCTGCCTAGTACACACACACAAACACACATACACACACCCCTACCAAATGCACACAAGATCCACTGTTCTCAGATTCTCTGTCTTTTTCTCCTCTCTCTTTTCAGCCCTTGTTTATAAATCTTGCTCTTTTGGTCACTGCCTACTTTCCCTCTCTAGGATGAGTAAGCGCTGTGTTTGGCTGAGCCCTAGGGATGGTTTCTGGAATATTAGACTTTCAGTTTTAACACTAAACATGTGAGGCATGGTGGCACATCCTTGTAATCCCAGATCTTGGGAGGCTGAGGCAGGAGGATTGCTGTGATTTTGAGGTCTTTGTGGGCTGCAAAGTAAATTCAACGCCTGCATAATAGAGCCCTGTCTCAAAAAGACAAAACAAAATAAAACCAATTAGTCTCAGGCCAACCAGCACAAGTTACTCACCTTATCCCTCCCATATGAGCAAATCTCTGGAAAAATGCCTCAAGTCATGACTTGAAACAACTTACCACGCAACATTCTTAAAACACTTATGGGGGCTTCCTTTGGTAGTGCTTTTACTAGAATTAGAAAGAAACGGTGAAGATTAGCATGGTGCCTACACAAAGAGAAGAAGCAAATTTGTGAATCATACTTTTATAGAAATAGGAAAATGTAATAAGTGCTCAATACATAGCAGCCACTATTATTGTCGCTATTGTATTTGGGTTAGAAGTGCAATGTCACTTCCACCCTGAAGATATCCCTCCCTATGCCACGTGCCCATAGTGCAGCGGTGCCCCCTCAAAGGTTGTTTGTGAATGGTCAAATTGCATCACTTCTTTTTCTTTTACTTTCTAGCACATGCCAAACCAATGCTTTACTACTGAGCTATGCCCACAAGCCCATCAAACTGCATCATTTCCTGAAAAACTTCTTAAAAATAACAAAGAAACAAACAGCAATAATACAAAGACAAGAAGATGATAAGAGGATCCATAACTTAAGGATTAAGAACATAAAAGAAGAAGTAGGGACACAAACAAATGAACTACAAAAGCTACTCACAGAAATAATCCAGGAGAATTTTCCTAATTTAGCAAAAGGTAAAGATACTCAGATGTATGAGGCATACAGGACCCCAGCTACCTACAACCCAAACAGAGCAACACCCAGGCATATAATAATAAAAATTCCAGAAATTCAATACAAGAACAGAATATTAAAAGCTGTCAGAGACAAGAAACAGACCACTTACAAGGGAGCACCCATCAGAATTACAGCAGATTTCTCTGCACAAACCATCAAATCACGAAGAGCGTGGGGGGAAATAATTCAAGCTTTGAAAGATAATAATCTCCAGCCAAGATTGAGATATCCTGCACAACTGTCCCTGGAAATTGATGGAAAAACAAGGTGCTTCCAGGATAAAGAGGAACTGGGGGAATTTGCAACCACCAATTCAACTCTAAAGAGAGTATTGCAGGATATTCTAAAAAAAGAAAAATACAAAGAATCCATAAATAATGGAGGCCACAACGAATGGAGCAGAGAACAAAGTGAAGAAGACAAACTGACAGCTACTGACAGAATAAGAGCTCAACAGAAATGAGGCAGAGAAGATTGGATGATAGGAACAGCCATTTTGGAGAAAATGACATCTTAATAGGTAATACTGATTTAATATCATCTTGTTTTGAAGTCTCATCTAGCTTTTGTCCTTCTGTCTCCAATGGTCCAAATAGGTTGTATCTTACTAGATTTTATTATGTACGATAGTATAAGCAAAAACCTTTTAAAGACAAGGAGATTATACAGAAACCATTGTTCATTTTCTGTTAGTCAATTCTAAATACTCTGTAATGCTGTCATTCTCTTCAATGGTTTTACATTGTTTTGATATACTTAATGCTACAGTATACGAAGTTGTACTCAAGGATTTCAAGGAAAGAGATAATATGGTAACTACTTTTAGGTCAGGATTATCTGGTGGTGAAACACTATTCTGCTTAAATGGTTATGTTTTGATCTGTGCTGTTTCGTTGTTATGCCCTCTTTTATCTCAATCTCCACTCCATTATTTACTTTTTTATTTTTATCCTTTTAATTAAAGGAAAAAATAGCAGGATATATTATAGTAACCCACTTTGACTTTCCATTACCTCGATTTAAAGCCCTGTATTACTCTCACCATCTGGTTTTTAACTGATGTTCCCCTATTCTGTTTTGCTGGATAGTATCAGGTTCGAAAATTTAGGCATCAGCTGTGAAGATAATGAGATTCATTATAACGCCCATTCTTGTTGACTTTTATCTATTTTTGAAGACCTACAATGTCTCCAATGTTTTGGTTTTGTCGGTTTTATTCTTTACTGTTTTGTTCAATTGTATTGTAACTAACGATATAGGCAATTCTATTAGAGATAGCGGGAGGCATTATGGTAACCATTGTTGATCACCTTGTATTATGTTTTCACATTATCTATTATGTCCACCCTTTTGACTTGACCGATTCTGTTCTGTTATATCACATTTGGTTTTACTCTCTTCCAAAAAAGTAATAAGAACCATGGGAGCAATGAAACCCAAAATGTGTAATAGTCATTGTACAAAAGAGAGGAAAAGAAAGTGCTCTATACTATATAACTGCATGTATATTTAAGTGTATAAGATAGAAAATATCACAGAGTTTTATTGGATCATTGAACAGAACTGTTTGCAGTATCATTGATGGAATGTCCACTTTACAAGCTTTAATTTTGTGACTTGAACAATTATTTCTAAGATGACAATATGTAATCCATTAACTAGTGATTTCCTACTGTTCATTTTTTTTCTGCAAATCTGTATAACTTGTACCCTTTCTCTGCTTTTTTTTCTTTTCTCCTTAAATAAAATTTTAAAAAAAAACTGCATCATTTCCATTCAACGAAACTCACTGGGCCCCTACCAAGGCACCAACACCTGTAGGGGCTCAGAAAATGATATCCTAAAGGATGCGCATGACATGCTGAATACTTAGAACTAAACAAGCAGCCTTAAGGTCTCTCTGACCATCCCTCAGCCCTCTTCCATCTCTGCATCCTCTTTCCCTCCCTGAGCAAGGTGCAGGGAGGGGCTTTCTCGGAAGTTCCCTTATCAGACCAAGGCCATTCCTCCATAAGGAAAGTAATTGGGGTCATCTCCTGATGACAAAGCAGAGAAGATGAACTCATAGAAAAAAGATCAAAGCTTTGATAGCTGGCCCAGAGGAACTTCACCACAAGCAACCATCTGTTCCTCGCAGGACTTTACATAGAGACTGCATTTGTGTACCAAGACAGATTGTTCACCATGAGTTGCGCCCACCCTCCTCTGACCTGTACCTCCCACAGAGGATCCCAGGCCCCTGTCCTGTTCTGTCACCACACCCTCTACTTCTTCCTATAGTTCAGAATGCTACTGAAGCTTCAACCATGTGGCCCATCTTTGAGCTTCAGACTTTGTATAAAGTCTGCGTGCTTGCACATATTAGATTTATATGCCTCTTCTCCTGTTAACTGCTCTGTTGTCAGTTTGCCTCAGCAGACTCAGTCATAGAAACTTCAGAAAGTCATAGAAAAAAGTTCCCTTTGTACTATGCAAAGCAGAGATTCTGCAGTAATCTGCAAACTGGTCTGCTCTGCTGCAAAGCTTCAGGATTGGTGTAGGACCAGACACTGAATAAATGAACACCATGATGATATATTGTTATGCTTTGTGGTTGGGTCCAAGAAGGAAATTTCTGGTGTGCAATGAGAGAATTTCATGTGGGAAACCTAATATGGGTCCAAAAATCAGGCAAGGATTTCCTTGAGGAAGTCACACTTAAACAAAGACCAAAAGGGTAATAAGAATTAACTAAGTAATAAAAGGTAAATTGCTCACTCTGAGAGATATAAATGGCCCTGCAATTTTGGTTGTTCCTCAAGTTCTTAAGAGTAATGAGCCAGAAAGTCTAGTTATTTAAATTAAGCCAATGGTAAAAACTGTAAAGTTAAAGACTTCCATATATCATAAATAATTATCCCATATTCAGCTACTTTGCAAGGATTGCTGTATACATGTGCCCTAATTTGAGGAATAGTGATCCATAAAAATCTAGTACGATTCAAGGACTGGATTATGAGGGAGTGTTCTTGACTTTGGAAAGGGTTCTCCACTTTTCTTAGCAGCATCTCATGTACATCAGGACTCTGGCTATGTAAGGCCAAGCAAAGAGGAAGAGAATAAGACCTGAGGCTGAGTCATGACCTCACTTTGTTCTTTACTAAAATATGCTTTTATTCTGGAGCTTCATTTTCTGTGTGTGTGTGTGTGTGTGTGTGTGTGTGTGTGTGTGTGGTACTAGGGATAGAACCCAGAGCAGCACACACACCCCAACCACTGAACTACAGCCACAACCCTTCATTTTAAACAGTACAATAATAATACTTCCTCCTCACCCTAGTTACCTTCTAGCATTTTTATAAGGAGCAAGTGTCCTGGGAAAATGTTGCCTGCCAGTAATCCTTCCTCCCTACAGAGAATGAGCAACAAGGTGTGATTAAAAAAAAAAGTACAGTGAGTATTCAAAAAGTTTTTTAGATTTATTACAGCAAAAAATATACGCTGGCATCACACACTCAAAATACTTTCCCTCACACAATTCTGGAAATCTTTCAGATTTTTAATTGTGTCATTGTGGCTGCCTTAAGATCCTGAATCAGTTAAAACTGTTGTCCTTCCATGGTGATTTGGATTCATGTGAAGAGCCAGCCAGGGTCTGGCAAATGAGGTGGATGAGGACTCACCGTAGTGTTCGTACAAGTCCATCTTCCCAGGGAAGAGCAATCAGCAGCAGTCACTATATTTTTATCACACTCTGTAAGCCTAGGAAAGAGGACCCCAGAACTGCTTTAAAAGTTGCAAGAATGGTGGGCTGCACCTTCAAAGCAAAGGGGATTATTTTGAGGGGGATTAATGGCAATGTACTTTTTACTATAATAATTTTTTTTAGTTTCAATATTCATTGTATATTTTGATCACACCTCGTACTTTACAACAGAAACTGTGCACACTGAGGACACAGCCAGAAGCAGAAGCAGAGGACTCCACTGAGCAGTTGAGTGGTCATGTAGTATTACAAGGTAGAATGACCATATAGGCTCCAAATTCAGAAATATCTAATCCTGAGCCCAACCCCTGCCTGCTCCAGTTGTGTGACCTCTGACCAGTGACTGATATCTACCTCAGTGCTCCCAGTAACAGGATGCTGTCTTTCAAAGTCCAGCAAAGAAATAAAAACAATGAAAATAAAAGGACCAACAGAGCATCCGGGTAGCACTCACCTGCCAAAACCTTTAAAATAACCCAAGCTGGTTCCTGCCCAAGTCTCTGCACACACTGTTCCTTTTTCTGGAATTCTGTTCCTCTAGCTATGCTTACCCAGTCCTGCTGATGTCCTGCTCTCTTCTTAAACTTTATGCCTTCAGGGCAGCCTTCTCTGGCCACTCCACTTGGATAGGGTTTTCCTCTGCAAGTCTTTATCAGAAAACTCCACTGGATACCTGCGTTAGTCATTTATTCTTATGGAAAGACATGACACTAAGTAGCTTGCAGACAAACACCTTAAGTTGCTGTGTAGACCAGGATCTAGCTTCA